TGTTATAGACGTTCTTAATTTATATTTTTTTGCATCCTTTCTTATTTTTCTTATTTTGCAAGTTCATCTAAATTAAGTTTAAATCTACATTTATGCCAAGATTCTTCTTATTTTCTTTATTTTCATTATATATTTTTTTCCAAACCAATGAAAACCTAAACAAACATAATGTTATGAAAAGCTGCAGCGCTGCTGCCAGCCATTCATTTACACTGTTAAACCGAAACCTCAATACACTTACGGTAAATCTTACTGATTACTCTCTCTTTAACCCTCTATCTCTCTCCAGTTCCCTCTAATACGTTTTGTTATTTTATATTTCCCAAGATTTTGTAGAAAATAACGGAAGCAAAGAAAATATGTTACCGTTACACACACTCTCACTTGCATACATGTATACGTAAATACCAACACATCCAGAATGTAAAGAGTGTATTGTTATAACAGTGTTGGTTAATGATTGTCATTTTTACTGTTTTCTCACATTAAGTATACGTGTAGGAGCACATTTTGAGGGTAAGATTTGTTTTTTTTTTTTATTTAGGTACTTAGTACTAACTATTAGTCATTTACTTTAAAACTGTCTTAACACAAAAAGTATAGTTGCTGGCGATCAGCAGCGACTAAGAATATTTGAAAGGAGAATTTTTCGGAACATTTTAGGCCCTTTACGTGATAATGGAAACTATATCCATTATCCGAGTTATGCAACGCAGAGGACATAGATAAATTTATAAGGGCGCAACACATAGGATGGGCAGGACACGTAGCACATATGAACGACAGCAAACCACAGACCACAAAATTAATGCTAAACTATGACATCGGAGGTACTAGAAGACGTGAACGGCCGCGGCATAAAGCTGAATACAGAGTGGAATGGAGGAAAATAACTGATCAGGCTTAAGCTCACCCCGAGCTGTAATGCTATAAGATGATGATGAATAACTTTTCAACCATTAAGACCTTAGGAGTTTTTACTAATTAAATATACATAAAAATCGGCAGATTACAAAAAAAAATTTGAATAAACAAGTAAGAATTTATAGTCGGGCATGACCGACCAGTGATTACGTTAAAAATGTTTATTATTTTTTAAATTATAAAGAATTTAATTTAATTTTTATCTTAATTCAGAAATATTTTAACAATTTGTTGACAAAAAAAGGAATTTTCTAAAAGAGGGTTAATATGGTCCTATCCTTATAAATTTTGGTAGAAAGATTTACGACTACATCAGTTATTTATGCAGAATATCATTGTGATATTAGTGTTCATAAGTGAATTTTGACCATCAAGTAATTTACTGAAGGGGACTTTGTATGAGGAATAGGGTCAAATGAGGCCCGATCATTACGAAAATTAGCAGCATTATTAAGACTTATATAAAACTTAGTTTTGCCGATTTCTGAAATAATACAAGAACACTTAACATATTTATGAGCTCAAAAACCCTATTCGGGGGTACGGTTGTATGGGGGCTATATGAAATAATGGACCGATTTTAACATTTTTCAATAGGCTTCGTTCCTTGGATCAAAAGAAAAATATATGCCAAATTTCATGAAATTATCTTGAAAATTACGGTATGTAGAGTGCGCACAAGGTTTACATGGACACACAGACGGACGGAAATAGCTAAATCGACTCGGAAAGTGATTCTGACAATTGGTATACTTTAAGATGGATGTAGGACCCAACTATAGTGCTGTAGGGTACACAAATTATAGCACTCTGGAAGTAAATAAACGATATGTACATATGTATGTAAGTGTGTACTTTGCTTGTTTCTATAGTGATATTTATTAGAATGTTGTTTTGTTTTTGGCGAATTTATGACTTAATACATATTCATCGATATAACAAACAGTTTAAAATTACGTTTTTATTTCTTATCTTTGAAATATGTTAGAATTAGTTATAAAAAGTTACAAAAACCATTATGTAAGCTTTGGCTAAAAATATTTCTAATTTCTATATTTTCCACATGTTTTAATTTCAGTTAATTTTCGATTTGTTTTAAATAGAAATATATATAATTCCTTACAAAATCTTCATATTTATAGTTGATAAACTCTCATAAAATCTTCCATTGTTTTTATTATTTTCAATTAAAATCTCTTAGTATTTAAAAAAAGTATTAAATAACACGGGCTAACGATAAAAAAAAAACTTTTTAAATAATTTTCACTAATCCCAGTGTTATTTGGTGTGCTGATTCTGAATTTGGATATAAAAAAGTCATATCACTCACCAATTTTCCACATTTTTATCTTTTAGTCCTTCTTGAGTAAATAAATTTTTGGGGTATAGTCATACATATATAGGAAACCCTTCAGACGGCCGTTTCAAAAATCTAGTTTCAAACTTTTAGCAATTTTGTTAAGCAAATCATAAAATCTTAGGAAAATCTCTATGTCACTTAGAGACAATAAAGAAGGGAATATATTAATAAGGAATTCAGGTCCATACCTCTGGTCGATACCTTTTGAAAACTTTAGAGAAAATTAAATTTTGTTAAAATTTTTTAAAAACATTCTTTACTGTTATGCAAACACTTTTCAGAATATAAAATTCAAGATAATAGAAAATATACCTCTGAAGTTTTAGTAATATTGAATAATATTAACCCATAAGCTGTGAAGGTCAAACTCAACCTATGCAATATTGGAAAATTTTAAATTTTAACATTAAAAACAGTCGAAATGGTTTCAAAAGTGAACACTGTGACTTTATTTATTATCTGATAGTATAACAAGTTTGTTTATATTTATGAAACACATAGTGTTAAATAAATACCAAGTTTGAATGGGCCTGTTGGAGCCAGTGCCCGCTTAAATAAGTCAAAAACTTGAGGAGACCAACTAAATCAACAATACAAAACACTTTAGCTCCTTATGGCAAGTTGGGAGTTAAAATTTTTTAAAAGTGGTAATTTTTGATACTAAATAACTTTTGTATTTTTTCTACATATTGGCTACTAGTCTGTGGGCCAGTATATACCCTTGTCAATAGACTATTAAGGAGTGAATTGTCAATAAACTAATCTAGTCTGCTGAGTAGTCTAAATTTATTAAGTGGTATATGAACTTATATATGAGTTAATCTACGGACTACTCTACTCTCTATCTACTAGTCCGTGGACTATATCTATGGACTAGACTGTTGGCTAATCTATTGACTGGCCTATAGACTACTCTATTTAAAAGGAATAGTCAATAAACTTGTTTATAACTGTATATAAGCCTAATCAATAGTATTTCCATATACTAGTATGCGGACTTGTCTATGGGCTTACCTATTGACTAATCGATGAACTATTCTATTGACTAAACGATTGCCTAGTCTATTGACTAATCGATAGATAGAAGTCTAGTATATATTTTTTTAAAAAACTTTTTTGCGTAAATGTTCTGAATTCTGAAATCAAGTACGAACCGAGATAAAATCAATACAAATTTGGGATTCATTCAATCTTATACATATTTATATCAATCTTATTTTTAACTTAAATCAAGTATGCATTTGAATTTTTCGTACTTAACGCTGCCATACTTGAATCAAGTATTTTTTACATGGTTTAAGTACTTATCGTACTTCTGAACCCGCTCCGGATTGATTTGAGAACGGATTACTCAATTATTTTTATGACTGTAGATATTAGACTATTGACAAGTCATTCAAAATACCAATCTGTAGACCAGTTGCGGTCTTCAATTTACTAGTCTATGGAATAGTATATTGATTAGTTTATTGACAAGTTCATTCACTATTTTACTGACTGTTTTTAAACTACTATATTTACAAATCGCTGGATTAGTATAATGGCTAGTTTGTAGCCTAGTCTATATCATGAAATTTCCATCCCTGATTCACACCCTGCTTAAACACAATACAATGCAATACTATCTCCCAGCCTTGACTTCCTTTAACTGTATTTTATATATATTTTGCTTTTTTGAGTATTTACAGCAGGACAAACTGTTTTTTCTTCTTCTCCTTTTGGAAGAATGAGTGTAAGTGTCAAACGAAGTTTACATGTACATATGTATGTATGTATTTATATGTGTTTAAGTGAGAGTTTGTAATTCTTCTTGTACTTCTTTCAAAATCCATCCGTGTTTATATAACAATGTGTTGTAAAGTAGCACGTGCTTGCTCTTGCTGGCTGTGTGTAGCAGAAACCAAATCCAAATAAAATGTTACTATTAAGTATTTTTGTGCCACATTTTGTTGTTGTACGTTCAAACATACATACTAAGTATACGCGCGAACATTTATGTACAACAACGACAAAATCTGTGTTTGTGAATAAAAATTTGTATTGAGGGCAATGTCGTATGTGTATGTATGCAAAAAAACAAATAAAATAAGAAAAAAAAAACACCATAACGAATGCTGTGGAATGAAAGAATAAATAGATGTACAGAGAAATAACGAAGAAAAAAATACGTAATAAATTGAGAAAAAATTGTAAACGAAACGACAATACGACCGACCAACACGGGCTTAGGCGAATTTTAAAATACCCTTAACTTAGTATTTGAGTTGCTTGTTTATTAGCGCCTCCCTAAAATATGCTTTACATATTCAAATATAAACAAATAACTATAGTAGGTTAATAGATATAAGAAGTATAACAGTTTTGAAGGTTACCGATTTTCTTAGTTTTTTTGTAAAGTTTGTTTATTTTAAATTGAGTTTGGTGGTTAATCCTTAAAATGGATGTTGCAAACACTTGGTTAAACTTTAGTTAGTTTCATGTAGCGCCTTGCTGGAGGCAACAAAACGAACAATTTAATGGATTTTTTTATTCGTTCTACGTTGAAAGCTGCTGTTTGCTTGTTATATTTTTCATATAAAAAATCAAGATGAATCACGCGATTTTTTTTTGTTACTTACTTAATAATAACGTTAGTAATAAAAAAAGGATAACGTAAGCAAAATAACCATATTAAATTTTACTACATAAAAAATTTAACAAATAACTAAATACTTACAAAATTATTTGCTTAATGATAACTTTGCGTTTAATAGTAATTTTCACAAAACTTTTTTTGCTCAGCTTTTAAATCAATATTTTTTCTATTATTTTTTTTTTTTTTTTGCTTAAATAAGAAATTTGAAAACTGAAATTTAGATATTTTTAAAATTTTTCATATACTTTTTAACTAAAACAAAATATTAGTTGTTTTTTTGTATTTAACTTTTTTTACACTTTTTTTTTATTCTTCTAGCCTGATTTTATTTCCTTCTTAAATATTTTTTCACTTTTATTTTATCCTACATATTATTCATTAACACTGTATGTTCAAAAATTCATGCCAAGTTGCCAAATACCGTTTTTTTGTTTATTACTATTTTGAATTTTCCGTTAGTCTGTAACATCTACGTTGAGTATTAAAATCCGACTGAGTTTTATTTCCCCAAAATCAACGTTTGTTAAAAGTAAAGGGAAAAAACGCTATAAGTTTCTCATTTTTATTAAGTGAAGGTGGACTGGGGTTCTAAACATAAAAATTTGCGGTAAAAATACTGCTAACTCTCATTGGGACAAAGTGTGCACATGGTATGTTTCGCTGCAGTGCGCATGTGTCGTTTACATGTGATAAGTAAACGTTATATTACTTTTTTCCCTTCTATTTATTTAGTTTATTTTTTTACGGTTGTTTATGAAAGGAATAAAGAAACAAATACCCAAAAAATTTTACAGGGTGTACATGTTTGAGTTTTTAAAAGAGAAGAAATTAGGTCATCAGGATGCGGTATGTATGGGTTGATATTAAGTAGGGTTCTAGGGTTTGCCATTCATTCAAAAGTAAATAAGAAATTTTGTTATTATATAGACATTCATTCATAAAGTTAGATTTACCGACTTTTTGCACAAAATGGGCGACTTCGGACTTTTTGCACAAATTGTCGACTTTGGAGTTCCCCAAAGTAAGGTCATATCGGTAAGTTGAAACTATCAACATTTTTGATCCGATTTAAAATACTTTACTACTTGACTAGTGAAATCCAAACCTTTCGGAAGCATAGAATTAATAAAGATTTGAATCTAAAAAGCTTTCTGGAGCCTTCAGAATGAAATAAAAAACCTGGGCTCTTCATTATAAACATATTTCGAAATATCAGGATCTACACAGCAGGCATCTGTTATTAAATTATGATCAAATGGATTATTTCAATATCAATCAATATTTTTCAATTATTTCATATTCGATTTTTTAATAAACACAAAATTTTATGGTACAAGGACTTTCATCATCATCATAGTTAATTAATTTTGTTATTTATTAGTTCTATTTATGTACTAAACAATATTTTTATACAAACATATTTCTTATTTTTTATTAGACATTTCAAATTTGATTACGTATTTTTGTTTCTAAATTTAACTCACAAAAACACTTTGCCATTTAAAATCAAATAACTAAAAAAAATTTGATTTGTTTGTTTGTTTTGCTAGTTTTCTTCCTTTTTTTCTATTTTGTCTTATAATTAAATAATATTATTAATAAGCAGACATGCAATGTGACGTCACTAGTTATTGTTTATTGCCAAAAAACAAAAACACACATTTGTTTTTATATTTATTAATAATATTTACAACAACTAAACACACACGCAAAGAATAGACGAAATTGCATTAAAATACTGTATTTATATTTACCTTTAGAAAACGAAAAGGAACAAAACCTAACAAATTACACAAGCATAAAAGAAATTGCTTTCTTTTTTTTACAATAAAAAACTTATTTTTACTAAAGAATTTTATTGAATTCTCTCACAAATTCAAGTTAAAATATAAACTTTATTTTAAAATTGTTTTAAAGAAATTTTATGAAAAATGCACTTAAATGTAAATTCTTATAAACAAAACAAATTGTTGACTGTTTGGCTGAACAAAATAAAACTGTTAAATTTCTGTTAAAATTATTTACACTAGCAAATGGCAACATTGCCCAGTGTGAGGAAAACTTGGTATCACTTTTTTGTATCATATGCTTAGAATTGATATGGCAATACCGCAGTGCTGTTTTTATTTATTTATTTGTAACGTTATTTTTGAAATTTTTAAGGTTTTATACAGAAAAATGCTGAGATTTTTATTTTAATTTGCGTTTTAGTTATTGTTTTTATTTTTTTTTTCCAAATAAGATTTGCCTTTAAGTGGGAGGTTCTTCTTATTCTTATAATAGTATGTAAATACTGTGCCCCGCTTCTGTAGTTTTCTCGAACCGAGAAAAAATATGCAGTACGGGTTCGATTTGCGCAACCGCAATTTTCGAAATGTTGCAATGACCGACCACTAATATCCTATACAATTTCATATAATTGTTTAACAATGTTTAAGTAATCATTTCATTTATTAATCAATAAAAATAAGTGTAAAATTATATTTGCTATCATAACTTAGGCCGGAATATACAATTCTGTTATTTAGGTGCCTATCACTGATCAAATCATTTTAAATTATACTGAGTGAAAAACAAAGTTAATGAAAAAAAATAAATCAAAAACTAACTTCGAAATAATGCCATAAAAAAGTTAAAGTTGCGGTTATCGGGACTATTTTTTGAAAAAAGTTGCTTTTATAAAGACTGTAATGTCAAAAAATATGCTGTGGCGCAAATCGGTCAGTTGAAATAATATGTAGTTGCGCAAATCGAGACCGCACTTTAATAGTCTTCCAGTTTTAACAGGGTTATTCATTTTATTTTTAAACTGTGCGCATTAAAAATTAACAAGAAATATTTAAATTTTTGGACTCACCCTGTTGTATACAAGATGATGTGAAAAATACAGAAACTCAAAAAAAAAAAATTCTCCCAGTTTTTGTAAAAATTAGGGAAAGGGGAAAAAAATACATTTCTATTTTAATGATTTTATTTATTTTATTTACCCCATTTTCTCAATGTCTGATTAATTTTTATCCTAACGACAAAATGACAGTTTTCATACAAAAATTTTTTTAACCGGCATTATATTTACCGGTTAAATGATAATAGGAGGTTGAGATAATGGCCCTTAATGTGTTTGTTTTAATCAGAAGCCAAAAAGACCTAGCTATTTTATATTAATGTTAAACTGAAATAAAATTAAAAACTTTGGTTTATTTATTTTTTTTTTTTTACCAATTAAGATTTTTTATACTTTATCTGAAGATTGTAAAACCCAAAAATATTTGACCACCTTGGCACGAAGCCTATTGAAAATGGTCCATAATGGTGTATTGAGCTCGTAATTATGTTAAATTCTTTAGTATCTCAACAAAAATCAGCACAACTTAGTTTTATATAAGTCAAAAAGTTACTGCCCCTAAGAAAGGGCTCATATTTTAGACGTTTTAGTTTATTTTGATACAAAAAAAAACTTTAAAACGCTTTATTTTATTTATGCTTTCATCAAAATTCCGACTAAAACCTTCAAATCTGTTACTAAATGTTTTTTATTGTTATTCAATTTCTCATTTTAAACATTTTAAATAGAACGTAATTTTTTATATTAATCATTCATATAGTTGGCAATGGCAACTCAAAAAACCACTATATTGGCATTACCTTAGGGCATCACTTTTTACAGCATGAAGTTAGTTGCAATTTACTCGCTGTTTTCGTTGCTTTCAAAATTAAAACAACAACGAATTGTATACAAATCAGAAAAAAATATCTGGTAAAAAAAACCCGCGCTAAATAAAAGGTTGTAGTAAAAGCAGTGTACAAAAATTAAGAAAATTGGTGTTAAATTAAGAGAATTAAAATAAAAACTTTTGTTTTTATAATAAAACTTACATAAGTGTGAAATAATTTTCAAGAATTTTTTTTATAATTAAATTAACTGCAGCAATTTTTCCATTATTTCTTTTGGCAAATTTTCTTCAAAGAAATATTTTTTGTTTTACACTTGCGGCATGAGTTGTTTTTGTTTTTCCAACAACAAGTGTGCAATATAGCTGACTCTGTCTAACATAGCTCTTTCTGTCTATTGAGTACTTTTCGTTTGTTTTTGCTTTATCATACTCATTGATATTGTTGTTGTGCGTTTTCCTTTTGCCGATTTGACATTTTGCAAGCAAAGCATATAAAGACAACAACATAAAAATAAAAAATACAAAATATAGAAAAAGAAGTGTTAAAATATTGTTTTTGTGTCAGTGAAAAACAAGAAAAAATAAATGTAAGCAAAAACATAGCTAGAGGTAATGCTTTCAACAAAATAAAAAAGAAAACAATTTGTTATTAATAAAAATTTATAAAAACAATTTAAAAAGTTAAATAAACATTGTGGATTATCTCCATGTACATAAGTCTGCAAAAACCTGCCTTAACAACTTGGAAACGTGTATCGAATTTGGTGAATTTACTTTGGAATAAATTATATTTTCCAGCTGTAGCATCGCCTTCGCTCTTAGCTCTTACCTATTCACCAAATTCTTTAACAACTGCTTCTTCGAGCAGCAACAACACTGCCTCAACTCCAGCTTCTTCAAAAGACAATTTTACTTACTCATCACAGGAATCGCAAGGGGTAAGTGCTGAGGGGATATTAGAAAAAAATTGAAAATATAGGTACCTATCCATTAATCTATTTGAGGTTTTGTTATCAGTATTGTTGTTTTGCTCATTTTTCTACTTTCTTTGTTTTTGGTGTTCAGGTGCAAACACTACTATGATGGGGAAGTTATAATTTGTTTTTGATGATGTTTGTCACCCGCCTCTAACCTCCCTTAGATAATGAATAATGTCCATAATATAAATATCAGTATAAACTATAAATTTCTTAATCAAAAATTGTTATATATAGTTACCTACAACTTCTAGTTATACTAATGAGAATTAGTCCCTAATTGTCCACAGCTCCATTATAATTTATCTAAATAAATTTATATTAGTTCTCGGTGAAGGGTATTATTAAGTCGGAATTGACCGACCAAACTTTCATGTTTTTTTTTTTCAATTTGAAGGTACAATTTATTTTTGTGTGTGCCATTTTATATTCTTTATTCGGGTCATTGTTTTGTTTATGATTTGTTTGGTTTGGTGACGAAATGCTATTAAATTTATTTTCTTAATTATATTTTTTTCACTTTTATTGACCACATTTAATACATATGAATGTATTTAACATTAGTGCAGAATTTTTATTTGCATATTTATTTTTGGCGCTTTTTTTACTGAATCATGTGCGTAAAGTTGTAAATAAACAAAAATTTAAAAATAGAAATAAAAAATCTACTGTGTTGGAACATCTTGATCCATTATAACTGTTTAAATACATTTGCTGATAAAAACATTTAAATATTGAACATATCTACCTACATTATATTTTTCTACTTGTTTCTGTTTTTATTTGTTTTTTTAATATACTCTGCAAAAGGCAAGCTTTTCATGCAAAAAGTCAAG